GATGTTATTTTGACTCCGGTACCTTTGGGAATAAGTTGGTGTTTCCCCTTACAGCTTCTGATATTGGTTCTTTGCTTGTAGTGTTGCCGTCTTAACTATAATTTGTCATATGAAGGGATCCTCTAGTCATGTCTATTTAAGGTTCTTTTGGAATGGCCTTGTAAGTAGTAGTTTGTTTATGGGGTATCATTTCTTTCTCTAAGTTTGGGGATTTTTGTGCTATAATTTCACTGACTAGATCCTCTATGTTTTTAGTTTTTATCTCAGCTCCTTCTATTAGCTAGTTGGTTGTGTTAGGTTAATCATGTGGCAGGAATTCGTGGGTGGTGGTGAAATGTTGCGTCTTCCCTCCCTGTTGCTGATATCTAAGTACAGAATTCACTCGACATTGTCTTCCATTCCTCATCTCTCTTCTACTTAGTCAAGTCTATATTGTGGTTTTTTATTTGGTTCATTGAGTTTTTTTGTTTTGTTTTGTTTTTATTGAAAATCGGTTCTTCTCTCATACAATACATCCCGATTACAGATTGCCCTCCCAGTTCATGTCTTTTTCATAAATCTGGATTTTCTTACTTGAATTTTTCTTTTATGTTGCTGCCTTTTTCTTTAATATTTCTGATTTTCTTAGCCATTTTTTCTAACTTTTTTCTCTATGTTGCCAGTGTTCCTCGCCATGTCATGACTGAATTAATCTGTTTGTTTGTATCCTCTTTTGGGTCTTTGATGAATTTTATTAGTAAACTTTCAAAACCTTCACTTGGCTTTATATCTATTTCCATTTTTGTGACTCAGTAGCAGAGGAGACATGTTGCCTTGCTTTTTTTTTTGTTGTTAATTGTTCTTTTTACTGTCTCATATCTGCTGTTTGGACATTCCTAGTGGGTTTTAGTGAGGATCTCCTTAGTGGTCAGTCTTCTCTTGGGAGCCCGTTCTATAGCTCTGCCCTGTCAGGGGAAAGCAGACAGTTAGAACAGTGTGGCCGGCTTCACTACCCTCTCAGGAGAAACCAGACCATTAGAACAGCGTGGCCAGCTTCACTACCCTCTCAGGGGAAAGCCGACTGTTGGAATAGCATGGCCAGCTTCACTGTTCCATCAGGAGAAATTAGACTGTTAGAACAGTGTGGCCAGCTTTATTACCTTCTCCGGAGAAACCAGAATGTTGGAATAGCATGGCCAGCTTCGCTACCCTCTCAGGAGAAACCAGACCATTAGAACAGCGTGGCCAGCTTGCACCTTTGCGGTAGGTCATTTGTAGGTTAGGGTCTCTCCCAGGTAGGTGAGGGTATGAGAAGCAGCCACAGCACTGAGGACTGTTATTTCAAGATCTCCCCAGTGTGAACTGCCCTGCTGAAGGGATGCATCTGCGGGTGTGAGGTAGAGTGTAGGGGCCCTGCAGCAGTAGAGGGCAAATAGGTGACGGCAGAGTCGGTCCACCCACTCGCCCGAGCCTGGTCTCAGCTGATGAGATTCTCTTGGCGGCTACAGTGGGGGTACCTTCCCTTATTTCATGGCCTGGGTAGAGCTTGCTTCCTGCAGCCTGCACTTTTCAGCTGTAATGCTAATGTCTGTTCCTCCCACGCTCCTCAGGTTCCTCCGAGGAGGAAAGTTGTCTCTTGCTCTGGCACTGCTGCAGATAAAATTAAGACTCCTCTCTTGTGGTTGTTCCCAGTTCCCAGGCCTCCAGGACAGCTCAGTTTGAAATAATAGGTTCTCTCTAGATGGTGCCCAGCTCCTGCCCCAAGCCTGTCCTTAATCCTAACAGAGCGACAACATGGGGTTCCTCTCCACTGCTGATCCCAAACTCACGGCCTCACCAAACCTGCATCTTATTTGATATTATATATTATGTGTGTGTGTGTGTGTGTGTGTATATATATATACATATATATATATATATATTTAAAATAATAAATAAATCTTTAAAGGTGAATGACCTGCCTTTTAAGTTTGTTTTTAAAAAGCTAAAAGCCTATTGATTTTCTAAATGGCCCACAAAACATATGTAACACTTAATTTGTGACTAAGGTAAGAAAAGGGGAATTTTAAGTAGATTTAGGTGGGTGTTTATTTTCCAGTTGTTCTCACCAAAGGAAAAAACCATTAACTCTTCTCTTCTAGAGTTTTTCTATTTAACCCTCTGAGTCTTTAGCAGAGTGTGAAAGGGGTCCAGGGAATGGTGACTAGCGGGTAATCCTTCTTGACGATTTGTAGTTTAATACAGAGGCCTGATAGAAAACGAATGATTGTTCTTAAGGTCATGTGTTCAAACATATTTTTTTCATTCTCTTTAATGCCATAAACTATAAATGATCCTCAAAAAAAGAAAAGAAAGAAAACTGCAGATGCTAACAGTCTCTGAGAATGAATGGAGACTAAGAGTTTGCCTGGCATGTGCAAGGCACCAGGTTTGTCTGCAGGGAAGGGGCTGGTTAGGTGGATCGGAAGGAGGAGAGGAAAGAAAACGAACCGGCTCTGCTTCAGCAGATGCGGTTGCCACCGCCGCTCTGACTTAGTGTTGTGTGAGGCCCAGCTTGTCTGGAAAAGCTCCCAAGCAGTACAGTCCATGCATGATGTAAGTGAGGCTGCTCTAAGTGTAGCTGCTCCGAGTGCGCCGCTTAACCCTGCCCGTATGTAGCTCTTGAAATGTAGTCAGTGCTTCTAAATACTGAACTTTAATTTCATTGCATTTTAATTGATTTAAGTTTACATTTTTATGCTTGACTTAGTTGTCAGGAACTTTTTAAGAATTTTTCAGATAGGGCCTAGAGAGATGGTTGGGCAGTTAAGAGCACTGGCTGCTCTTCTGGAAGGTCCTGAGTTCAATTCCAGTACCCACATGGTGGCTCACAACCATTTACAATAGGATCTAATGCCCTCTTCTGGCATGCAGGCATACATGTAGAGCACTTACCCATAAAATATAAACAAACAAACAAACAAACAAATAAATAAGAGAATATTGGGGATAACTTAAACATATGAGTCTATTTTTGTTCTAAGTTTTATTAAATCTAAATATCAACTAAATATTTAAAATAAAAATTTGCTTATAAACTAACATATTTCCAAGATTTGAAATTTTTGAGATAAGAGAAATATATTCTGAAAATCATTTTAAATTTTTTTTAAATTCATAAAATAAGAGTAATTGTAAGTTTTAAATCACTGTTTGGATCATAGTATGTTTGTCTTGGACTGTGGTGGTTAAAAAGCTCAGAGATGGCTCAGCTGTTGGAGGCTGGGCCAACAGCCAGAAAGACATCAGTGGGATCTGCTTGATATGCAAACGTGCATAGTAGGTGAATAAAAAAAATTGTATCAGAATCATAGCCTGCTATGTGTGTATGTGCATGTGTGCATGTGTGTGTGTGTGTGTGTGTGTGCCTGTCTTTAAAGACATGATGTTGGCAGAAGTTTCTGTCTGTGGAAATAAAAGCATAACCTCTTCCCCAAAGTAACATATCTTTTGAGTTCCATTTTGAAGTCGACATTTTTAAAATATATAAGTTGGTCTAATCCAATGTGTCTTAGCAGCTGCTATTCCTTCATCAGAAGTCAGAAAATCTAAGGACAGCACAGTAACATACAGAATCCAGACTGTGTATTTTCATCATTACATGGCTTATTATATTTTTTTCTCTATTCCTTTTTTAAGGACTTTGTTGTTTTAAAGCTATATTTTTTAATCTAATAATGCACTCTTTCTCTTTTTTCTCCCAAGCCTATGTATATTTTCAAACACACTGTAACCCATTCAGAGGTGTTTTTTTTTGTTGTTGTTGTTGTTGTTTTGTCTGATTCTGCCTTTACTGTATATCTATAATCTTTTTCTGACTGTATGAACCTTTAAACTGTAAGAGGCATGGCTAGGACCTCTGTTTGGGGGGTTGGCTCTGCCCCAGTTAGTTCTCTGAGAGCCACATTTACTGTTCCAACTCTGGGGAGTTTTTGGGTCCATGCTGTCACTGAGTAGTGTGCCACCCACTGCTCATAAACCCCACTTAAGTGTTTGGTAGCAGGGCCTCTGAAAAGAGCTGCATGATTTCACTGCTAGCACCGAGACAGGAAGCCCTCTCTTAAAGGAGCTGTGCCTCTGCTTGCTGCTAGCAAACAGAGTCTTCCCAAGAAAAGGCATTAGCAAGAAGCTGAGTTTGACTCCATTTTTGTGTGTTTAGAGTCTTTTTTTTAATCTTTGTCAGGTCTTATGTGGAAATTCCGGCCCCACGTTGGGACACAATTCTTTGGCGGAAGTTTCTGTCCCTCAAGTCACTCCCAAGTAACCTCTCAGAGGCTTAATGTTAATTATAAATGCTTGGCCAATAGCTTGGGCTTGTTACTAGCTAACTCTTACATTTCAATTAATCCATATTTTTTATCTGTGCTTTGCCATGTGGCTTGATACCTGTTTTCATTACAGCATGCCCATCTTGCTTCTCTTTGCATCTGCTTATGACTCCCCTCCGTTCTTCTTCCTCCCATCATTCTCTGTTTGGCTTTCCTGCCTGACCTTATCCTGTCCAGCCATTGGTTAGTCAGCTTCTTTATTAAACCAGTCACAGAGACATGTATTCACAGTGTAAAGGAATATTCCACAACATGGTTTAGTTTAAATAGTTTTAATTTTTAGTCAGTCACTAAATTTACAAATTAATATCATTTGACTCTTTTGTTTAAGTTGTATTTTGTTGCTAGAGAAAATAAAGTTTCTTAGAAAATGTCAGTAAAATAAATCAGTGCACATAGAAGCAAAGGGATAAGTTTGTCTTTGACTGTGTTTAAGTGTTGGCAGTTCATGGCTGAGACACTCAACATACTTGACGTGTCTAGAAAAGTGATGGCGCCTGCTTCTCAGGATGTGCTGTGTCCATGTTTCTTTTGTCCTCAGCGTAAGAAACTGGGGCAAAAGCTGCTCACTCTGTCAGGCCTCCTAACGGGCTAGAAATGTGACATATGACTCTTGTCAGGATTCATCTCGTTTCTCTTCATCAATTCCTCTAGGAGGTGATTTCCTGTCCTTTCTGAGGAAGAGGAAGGATGAACTAAAGCTCAAGCAGCTAGTCAGGTTTTCCTTGGATGTTGCAGCTGGCATGTTGTATCTCGAGAGCAAGAACTGTATACACAGGTAAGAAGCTGTTAAAGAGATTTTCACTTTATTGCTACAACCCTAGACAACTAACATATTTTCTGTGATACTACAGTAGATTCCTTAAAGCTTGTATATTGCTTTTTATGTTTTGTGTGAAAGCATTCTTTGATAGTTTTCCAGAAACCATTGATTCATCCCTTACTAGAGGTAAGTACCGAATTAGAAAATGGTTTAACCTTGTGATTGGAATTTGCTTTATTGTAATCGTGAATGGCTGACATGGCCTGCATTGCAGTCAGAAAATGGCTTCATGGGTTGCTGTCATTTTCTAAAATCATACTAAGAAAAATTCTCTCTTTCTTGTTGTTGTTTTCCTGTTCCTATTTGTTTGTTTGAGACAGGGTCTCGCTGTAACCCTGGCTGTCCTGGAACTCACTTTGTAGACCAGGTTAAGCTCCAAGTCACAGAGCTCCACCTGCTTCTGCCTGCCGAGTGCTGGATTAAGGGGTGTGCCACCACACCCAGCTATTGCAATAATTCTTAACTGTGAAGTTGGCCAAGAGTAAAAGACTTATGATTGGTATTTCAAAGGAAATGTTAGAAAACTTCTCTCTGGTTTTTGCATAATGGCCTGGTCATCCTGCATCACAGATGATGGTTTTATTGTATTTCTTTAGGATTTATTTTTTATTTTCTGTGAATGGAGAGGGTGTCCAGTCCCCTAGGACTGCATTACCGATGTTGTGAGCCATCATGTGTGTTGGAAACTCTACAAAAACAGTAAGAGCTCTTAGCCCCTGAGCCACCTCTCCTGCCCCTAGGTTGTGGTTTTAATTGTTTGTAGCTGAGAGTGACCTTTAATGTGGAATGTAGTACACTTTGAGATCTGTTGAAGAATTTGTGCCGTATCTCAGATGTGGCTAAGTGGGCATGAGGAAATGGTGTGGAAAGCTGGTGCAGATTTTATTTGCTGGAAGCAGTGTGTCACACTGCGTATCCTAGAAGAGGTTCATTGTCACGCCTAGGTGCTGTAGCCCTTACCTGCTGGTTTCATTATTGCTCTGCGCTTTTGACTGAGGTTTCTCATTACTCGGCATTTGACGTGATACCGTGTTAAGAGTATTGATTCCGAATTGTGGGGAGGTTGTAAAACACAGAATTACAGCCAATTCACCTCTGCAGTACTGTTTTAATATTGTTCAACAATTACATTTACTTTTTAGAAATGTCAGGATGGATACTATTTTCCTAGAAATTAAGATGACGATGACTAAGCCATACCACTATACTTCTGCCTAACTTCGTATAAATATGTACCAAGTCATACCGTTGAAATTTGTAAACCTTAATGAACATTTCTGTTTAGACAAGCTAGAGCTAAACCAACTATAAGTCTAAAAACATAAAAAGTCTTGCTCTTATATTTTGAGAAAATTTACAATTTCTTCTGAGATTTTAAGATATTTTATGTATCATACATTTCATCAAATTTTCTAAGTACCTGCTCTTAGGGCTTTTTCTGTTAGGCATCTGTGGCTGTAAGTCTTAAGTAATGTACATCATTAAATTACTTTAATAATTTTTGAGTTATCTGTAATATCCTGTGTCCTCCTCCTCCCACCACAGGTCCTGGGGATTAAACCTTTGGCCTCCTGGGTACTCTACCACCGAGTTCAATTCCAAGCCCTCTTTCTAGTTTTTATTTTGAGACAGGGTCTGACTTTTTTCCAGGGTAGCCTTGAATTAACCATGTTATTCAAGCAGGCCATAAACTTATAATCTCTCGGCCCTATAATGATCTTTAATTTTTGGTGTGCTGCATTTGGGGGAACCATTGCTTTAATTTCATACTTTTTGCAGTGATGACTTACCCTGAAAGAGGATGAGCTGTTAATGATCAGAATCAAAACCATTCTAGACTACAGGTGACAATGGCATTTGATTTTGTTCCTCTGTCTAAATAATAACGTTATCTATTGTAATTTTTTCGTTTTCCTTTGTAATATGTTTCACATTTTTGCATGGTTTTGAAAGCCATTCTTTGCTTGACTAGTAGTAGTGATGTGTATTTCCTAGCTGGCAAGATTTCACAGTTGAGCATCTTGAACAATGTCACTGAGAGCAGGAGTAATAAATAGGCCTCAGGGTTAATGCCATCCTTCAGGGATTGGTATTGGCTCTCTGTGGTATGTGTTAAGAAGAAATCCAGGATCTGCTTCAGAGATGGGTAATTGATTAGTCATGTCTGATAATCATTAATATAAAAACCCCAATTTTGCCATTCTTGGCATTCAGTAACCTTCTGTCTTTATTCATAAATGCATTTCTAATGCTTAGTCTTTGACATGATTTTACTAGTCATAATATAGTAAGTGTACTATTTTTCTGTGATCATATCCATTGAATTTTTCTAATATATCTCTTATTTCCCTTGCTAATCATGAGAACGACATGAAGAAATTTTATATCTACATCAGATGATTTCTGTTCCTCTTTAAACATAGATGGATTCCTTTTTCTTTTCATTTTACTACGGGAATATATGGCATTGTATTGAGAGAATAAATCATTCTTTGTGTTGCATTTTTAATAGTCATGAATTGTGCTGTTGAGGTTGTTCTCGTGTACCAGGCTGAGGAGCTATTTCTCTGGGAGAAGCAGTAATTACAGTGGAATCAGCTTGCTTTATAGTTACAAATGCAGTCAGTGCATATTATCAAAAAATACCCTAAATACATTGTACTTACTTCGGTGAAGGGTGTTTTTTTGTAATAATATCTGATGGGAGTATTTTAAAAATTAAATTTAAGCAATATAAACCATGGTGAAATTTTATAATTATTATTCAGATAATGAGTATATCACTGAGCCCCATTTTTGACATCCCCAAAATTACTAAAATCAGTGCATATTGAAGATTGTAAAATCCAAGCAACAACTTATAATCTGCTTCAAATTGTATGACTTGGAAATGTTTATCTGTTCACTGATTCAGAACGTGAACTTGTCTCTCTGCTAAATGATTCTCTTTAACATTTGAGTGACACATTTTCTTTCTTTCTTTGTGTGTGTTACTACAAAAACCCCAAGTAATGTTTTATGAAGGAAGGAAGAAGTGTGAAAGTTGAGTGGCGGAAGTAAGGAAAACATTCAGAAATGGCCTGCCTTTGGAATGTGTTTGTTTTGGTTTCCATTAACTTCTACAGTTCTCTTGATGTCTGTTTTTAGCCGTAACAGTTTCTGCTCCTAGATAGGAACTTGAACATTTTTGTTTGGGCATAATTTTAATCATCTCAACTCTCTTTGTAATACTCCATAAACCAATGTGAAATTCTTTTCTGCTTTATATGAAATACCCTGAAGTTGTGCTGTGGCAGTTTTAATAGTGATGTGCTATCAGATCATTGTGCATGCCATAAAGGGCACTAAACCTGACTAATTCAGAAGTTAAGTCGTTAGACATAATAGATATAAACAGCAATGAACTGTATGATTTTATTTCCGACGGATCTCACTGTAAGATTTTATTTCCATTTATTTCTAAAAGTTGGTTAAACATTACCATTCTTGGATATTTATGAACATTTAAAAAGTATAAACCTTTATTGTGACATGCTTTAGTTAAAAATCATAATCTACATAGAGGTATGAGACTTACTTAATTCCATTTCATCATCATCAATAACAAAAAAGGTGATTAAAAAAGAATGTGAGTCTTTTTGTTTTTTTGAGACAAGGTTTCTGTTATGAAGTAACAATTTTATAAGTTAAAATCTGACAGGCCATGCTTGGGACTCCTGAAGGGCTTCACATACTCTTTATCTCCAGTACAGGTTAAATGTTCTTACTCTGGAGACCTGAAATCTAAAATGCTCCAAATTAGGACAACTTTGAGCACCATCATAACAACACAGTGGGAAAAACATTGTTTCATGTATTAAGTTATTGAAACTATTTTATGAAATTACCATCATGCTATAACATTAAGGTATATGTGAAACATAAAAAATACTGTGTTTAGATTTGGATTCTGTCCCCAAGATACCCCATTATGTATATACAGATGCTAAAAATATGAAATCTGAAGTACCTTGATCCAGTTTTCAATAAGGAAGATGTAATATGTACTTCACAAATGGAGTCCCTTAACCTGTGCCGTGGTGCCAACGGGACAGTTGTGGTCCCTGGCTGCAGATGGGTGTAGCAACAAAATAGTGATGTGAAGAGAAAATCAACTTTGTGATGACAGGAACAAGGCTCTTGGAAAGGAATATGGAGAGTGTATAGTATGCTGGTGTTAGTGGGGGCGCCGTATGATACTGGAATAACCAGGGAAGCTTTGCACAGCCTCCCACCTCTCTGAGGTGTGGTGTCCGTTGTTGGATAGAAGGAGGGTGAGTTTTCTACCTGAAGAAGAGCTAGGAGGCTGGGGAGATGGCTCAGTGGTTACGAGGACCTGCTTGCTGCTCTTCGGAGGGCCTGGGTTGAGTTCCCACCACCCAGCTCACAGCTCTGCAACTCCAGTTCCCGGGGATCGGATGCTGTCTTCTAGCTTCCGTAAGCACTGCACACACGGCATTGTACCTGCCCCTCACGCCCCCTTTTGCTCTGTACTCACTTTAAGACTGTAACTGAGCCCAGAAAAGAGTAGCTAACAGTCGTCCTGACCTGACGGTAGATGTGACTCAGGTGGGACTGTGAGGGTGTGACAGTAGTGGGGGACACTGAATGGGGACCAGCCAAAAAATTTCATTCCAAATTAGATGCACAAGGGAACATCGTCTCTGCTGCCTCTGGCCTGTGGTGCACAGTGCGACTTCAACACACAACGTGCACACTTGGCACTACACACATCACCACAGCACACACCAACAACACATGTGTGAGGCACCTTGACTCAGATTCTAGACTGTTGTGTCGTGGATACCCTGTGTTTACTGTACATATACATAGAAGCATAATGGTTTAATTACAGAAAACAACGGCGGTGATTTTTCTTACTATCATTCTCAGTACAGAGGATCAAATTAGTCCAT